GAAGGACTGTGAAACCAGGAGATGCCCAAGAAGACCTACTATGTTTATCAAAAGTACACAGGGGAGTTGTTCTAGTTTGATTGAAAACGTCCCCAAATCCAACAACTGCAAAGCTCTGATTCTGACCAAGGTGAAATATGGCTCCACGTTTTGCAGCCAAAACTATGTGAGAAATGGGCATTCTTGGCGAAGGCCCAGGAGGTAAAGGGAAACAGGCCCTGGAGAGCCCAACATGGCACATTCGGTGTTTAAGATGTAGTCAAACAGGTCCAGGGAAGGGTGACAGCAGTTCTGGAATGTTCTGATAGAAAGGAACTTGGTTCACTTTGCCTCACCCAGAGTTACACAAAAGGATTCGTCCCCGGAACCCTTTCTCATTTAACACCTTTTCACATTCCACTAAAGACACTCAGGATGTGCCTTAGCAGGGAGAAAGCACGCAACTATTAACTGTCTTCCACAAATCTCAGCAGTCTTAATGGTGGCTAAACAAGCGTCGCCATCAACGGAGAGGCCAGCACGTCCCAAGCGCGCTTTTCCTTCCGTCTTGACACCCTGCCCCGTCACCACATTCAGCCCCGTAACTGGGAAAGTGACGCTCATGACGCTTCAGTCAGTCACCCACGCTTACCAGTGGGCAGGCCCACTTCCGTGTAACCCACAGTGTATGTTCTTCGATGCTGCCCATTTTCACACAATTTATAACAAGAAATTCCTTTGAAAGCGTTCATTTATCCATCTTAACTCATATCAAAACTACTTACTAGTGTAAAAACTGTTTTATAAAAATATTTTAATATACTAATATTTCAAGTACACATTAACCTTACATTACTTTTTTAGATCTCTATAATGTATCTTGCAGCCTACATAATAATATAGAGGTGCTATCTAGGGGAAGCTGACTCCCTGTACCCTGAGAGGGGATCCCTCACTGGTACCCCCTCCTTTAGATACCCAGGCCCTATGACCTTGTCTTCAGCCTTCGGGCCCAGAAACAGCCTACCTGTATCCAAAGAATGCACCATTTGGATATTGATTTTTATATCCCACGTTCACAAAAGAAAATGACACACACATGCATGTATGCACACATAATACCAGAAAAAATAGTACTTTATATTTTACAACTAGAAATACAGTAGTCACAAACCAGAGTCACATCTTCAAGCCAGTACAGTACTTGTACAGTACAGGCTCAAGCAGTACTTGTACAGAAATCTCTATGGGAAATCACATCACAAGCAGATGGGCTGTCGCACGATTCCTGTTTCTAAGAGCATCAGGATACAACAGCCATCTCCTCGGTAAGGGTGCGCTGCGCCGTGGGCTGGGGAGTGGATCTGCCACCCAAGGAAACCCTCTCCTGGCGGAACCTGACAGCTTACTGTTCTGGCTATTTTTTTTTTTTTTTGCCCTGGGCATTTTTTAATGACCATCTCCAGTTATGCTGACACCTTAGGCTGGGGGTGGAAATAGGATGTGGTATGTGTTTTCCTTTTACTTCTTATCTGTTAATACAGCATGTCCTTCTCATCCCAACTGGGAAACATCATTCAGGTCTTATAGGGTGATTTTAAAGTCTGTGGCTCGGTGTTTGGGAAGCTTCCTGCTGACATTGCTCTCACAGCATCCACAATGTGCCATTTACTTAGCAGCTCACGTTGCTATTAGGGTAATGACTTCAGTGTGTTTACTGCCCAGCAGATAAAGGGGAAATGAGAGGAAAGTACTACCTGAACTCTGCCTTTAAAATTTCAAAGGCTGATGCTAGGTTGGAGTGCTGGGGAATTAAATGAACAAGTGGTTTTTCAGTAGATCTACACCCTTTACAGGTATTAGTCAGTAGGTTCTTAAAAACTTAGCAACATGGTATTAAAGAATCTCTAAAAATCCACCTTTAAATTCAAGGTATGAAGCTAACCTAATGAATCAATCAGTGCTATGAACTGAATATTTGTGTGCCCCCCAAAATTCATACTGATACCCTAATCCTCCCCAGTGTGATGGCATTAGGAGGTGGGGCCTTTGGGAGGTGATAAGGCCATGAGGGTGGAACCCTCGTGATGGGATTAGTGCCCTTATAGGAAGCCGCATGAGAGAGCTTGCATTTCCAGCCTGCCCTCAGCCCTCCTACTTTACCCCACCCCACCCTCTACCATGTGAGGACACAGCAAGAAGATGGCCATCTGCAAACCAGAAAAGGAGCTTTCACCAGAATGTGACTACGCTTGCAACCTGATCTCAGACTTCCCAAACTCGAGAAGTATGAGAAATAAATGTGTGTTACTTAAGCCACCCAGTCCATGGTATTTTGTTACTGTAGTCCAGCAGACTGAGATACTAGTGAAACAATAAACTTTAAAGTGAATCAAAAAAGCTGTGAGAATACAGTTCTGATTTAATTTGGTAAATCATGCACTACTCAGTCACGTGTGAGAGATCACAGTGAAAAGTAGGAGGGCTTGGGGGTTAGGATCAGAGGTTCACAATTAAGATGGCAAAACATTTTATCCAAAGGAGCTCAAGAAAATAAGAATTCACTGAGAATGACAATGGTCTGATATATAGGACCACCCTACTTTCAATGTAGTTTGATAATTCCTTTTTAAAGTCTGGTCTCCCAAGACTGTTTACAAATCAAACCATTCCTTTAATGCACTTCACTCTCTGAGCTGGTAGGTAAAAGGCAAATAGAAATTCCAGATCTGACTGCCAATGTGATGCTAAATCAGTGCCTTGTGACTCTGGAGGCTACAAAGGGTCTCAAGAGAGCTCATTCTAGAGGTTTTTCGTGGGCACCAATAGGGTCAAAGAGAAGAACATCAGGGCAGCGAGGAGTAGAACACAGCTTCCAATCTTGTCCAGGAGTGTGTCCCACTGTCCCCAAGCTGGTAGACACCTGGAAGCTGACGAAGAGCCTAGAATAGGTCCCAGAGGGACACTGGAAACATTCCAGATCTCAATCTTCCCTACTTTGGGAAGGTCTCCTCCAAAAGAAGTTTTGTAATCACACTCAGCTTCTTAGCCTGTGACACCATGCAAAAGCCTTTTGAAACCTAGCCCAGCCAAACCCCACTTCCCCTGCTTGCTTTTTAATTCTATGAAGAGGAAACTCTGTCCCCAAGGCCATATTCTTCACTTAAACTACTGACTGGTTACCAGTACATTTATATAAAAAGAGGGTAATGGTCAAATAGAGTGTTTTCCTTCTGGAGGAAAAACTAATTTTTACTCTTTTTTGTTTTATAAACAAAAACAGTACACGTGTACTGGAGAAAATTGAGAATATGACAGATGGCAGAAGGAAAAAAATCTAATCACCTGTTATCTCACTAGCTATGGAGATACCAGTTTTTAATATATTTATTTCAAAATATATTTTAGCCTTTATTATATATTTTTTAAATTTAAAAGTGGAATTTAACAAATTCTTTATACCTGTTTTATCCATTTAATAACATAAGTTTAAATGCATTACTAAATTTTCTTCTATAACATTATTTTTAATGGCCGCGAAATGAATTTTTGTTTCGAGGTAGCATAAATTAACAAAGCCTCCATTGTTGGAAATAATACTGTTTCTGATTTTTCTTTATGATAAATAAGCTGCTATAAATACCCCTGTAATTAATTATTTGCAATCACTCTCCTTTATTTCTTTAGGATAAGTTCATAACGGTGGATTGCTAATTTAAACATACCTAAGTTTTTAACACTTTTAAAACTTATTGCCAAAGTATACTCTAAAAGATCCTAATAATTTACATATGCACTAACAGAGCTTTCACTACCTCTTTACTTCCATTCAAAAAACATTTATTTATAACTCATCAAAGGCGAGAAATTGTTGTAGGTACACAGGTACAAAGATAATTTAAACAAGGAATTTATAGCCCATTTAGTCATCATTCCAAGGGTAGAGGAACTGGGATTGAGGATCTTAACTAATAAACATCAAACCTGCCGCATAGATTACTGGATGCCATTCATGCCCATTCTGAAGAGAATCAGCCCTGGAAAGACCCAGTTTTCCCATCCCTGAGTCTAGCCAAGCACCTAAACCAAACATAAAAAATGATCTTAGATGCATGTTCCAGTTGGCTCCTTCATGGGCCAAAGGAATTAAGAGAGAGAAAGGCAAAACAATGCAATCCTCTTCGTGCCTCCTCTTAGCTGTAAAGTAACTGACTATTCTCAATATCAGGCTATTTTTAAAAGGTCCTGTGGACAAAAGGCAAAAGCTCCTCAAACGCCCACTGTCACTAATTTCCCACCTTTGATCCAAAGTCAGGATGCTCTCGTGTTCAGGCGTCCCCATCAGAAGGGCAGAAGGGCTGTGACATCAGGATTACTTTTGCACCACTTCTTAACTTCCCCTGGCCTCTGCCCCTCTGTTACTTTAAATAGGAACTCAAAGTGGGTATTGTGGGTCTCAAAGATCCTCCAAAATAACAGGACAGGACTTGCAGCAGCCCCTCCACGACAAGGACTCAGTCTGCATATGGTATTTTCTTCCCATTTCTTACGTCTGTGGAAGCAGAAACCCGCTCCTCACCAGCTCATCTGCACGAGGGCTCATTTCTTAATGACTCATATACTCCTGAGACCCGTGAACAGAAGGAGGGACATTTTCTTTTAGACGCAAGTGCTATGTCTCCCTGGGTCGGATAGGGCTTACTTAATATAGAAAGTAAAATATCCTTGCAGATAGCACTTCTTACCCTGCTGCATGTTACTGCTTTTATTTTCCTAAAACAATATATGCCAGGCATAAACAAATTTTGAATCATGTTTTTTTTCTTTCTTTCTTTTTTTTTTTTTTACTAATTTCACAAAGCCTTAAGACACTCCTTATCAAATAGTGTAGGTTTTTTTTACACTGGTATATTAAAAAAAAACATTTCTTACACCCTCTCTGATTATACTGATATAAGAAATTTAAATTTTTAGAAATTAAAGGATGCTTCAAACCATGCAATGAAAAGGAAAGTGCATACCTGATAAAAGTTAGGCCAGAAAGTACTAATGGCCAGTTCTGCCCTGTTCCATGTACGTGTCGGGTCTCCAGATATGTTCCAGATAGGGTTCCCCAAAGGCCCATTATTGACCTTCACGTAGACATTGAGAAACCCAGGGGCAGAATTACTCTTGCTGGATACAAAATAGTGAAAATCGATGCAGTGCGTGTCATTCTCTTTAAGCTGGGGTAAGAGCAGGTGGGCTCTTTGTCCCTCAGATTTCCCCGATGCATTCACCAGCATGAAAGATCCTGCAAAAACAAAATGAAAGTACAGTCACAACCCTAAATATCACTTTCTGGTCACCTCTGAAAAGCCACCATCGTTATGAGGGTTTGGCACTGCAATTCCACATTAGTTACTTAGGCTTAAACTGCCATTTCTCCCATACCTTTTTCATACATTTCCTCCTCCTAACACCCCCAGTGTGTTCTCAAGAGTCAGTGAATTGAACATACCCTGCATGTAACTGTAAGTAATCTCCTAAATAACAAAAATGTAGCATAGTGTTTACAGACCTGCCCTGATCAATCTGGTAGTCACCAGTCATATGTGGTGGTTATTTAAGTTAAAATTAACTGAAATTCCTCAATATTAAATATTCAGGTCCTCAGTCACTCCAGCCACATTTCAAGTGCTCAAGAGCCACATATGATGAGGTGCTACCACATTGGGCAGCACTAATACAGAATGTCTCCATCCAACAGAAAGTTCTACTAGACAGCACTATCCTATAATGGTACCACCACTTGGTAAGCACTTGGTATAACCTAGATAAAGATAACAGAGTAGTCCGGTTTATGAAATCTTAGCCCTGTGATGCTCCTTGTGGTCAATGCAATATGACCCTCTTGCAGCTGGGCACCAGTATCCCTCTCCCATTTCTGGAACAACTGGCTTCTCCTTGATGTGGGGGTGTTTTCCCAACAGGTGATAACTGATGCAATCACTGCCCCATGTAGAGGACAATCACCCTCAGAAGTCTCCATGAATTCTTTGTATCTTGACACCCATGGCGCTAACCTACCCATGAGTGCTGAAGAGTTTCCAGGTATAGTCAAGTTTTCCAGATACCCTGGCACTTGAGCCCTCCTCATGTCTAAGATCAACGAAAACACTAATTTTAAAAATTACATGAGTTTTATATTTCACATAAAAAAGATAAAAGCAAAATGTTCTAAGGTAAAAGGGAAAATAGGTTATTATAAGTCCTTTTTAGTAGAAAGGAAAAAATGTACTGAAATTCTGAGGAGGAAGTACACCTACTCCAGGAGTAAAAATATGAAAACAATACTATCCAGGTGAGGTTCCCTCATTGTGAATCACAATGTTCAAAGTGTTCTTACATATGTTTGTGTTTACGTATACTTTATTGTGTACCCCAAAATATCCATAAACATACATACACAATACTAGAATTTCTATCTTGTTTACATGCTGTGATTTCCTAAACACAAAACAGAAGGCCACCTTTCCAAAAGAATTATTAAAATGACCAAATAAAAAATACAAATGTAGATATCGTTTATAAATTCATAGGCTACTATTAAAGGAAAGATATTGTAGTATGTTTGCTTATGGTTGTTACCTTTACAATACCCCTACATGAGGTGAGCTAGTTTTTACACCATTAAAGATAACCAGAAATTGGGTCACAGATTAGGAAGCAGCTTATCCAGGTTTTAGGATGAGTTAGTAGCAAAACCAGAACTTTGAGCCTCTGAGTTTCCAGCTCATTACTCACTGTGCCACACTCCAATAACCCCATGTTTCTTCATGTGCCATTTGAACATATATGAGAAAAACAAACCCTTCCACGACACTGAAGGAAAATTATAGTAGCTATTTGAAAATAGAGCAATTTTTCAAGAGATGAATGTTATGCACCTGGAAATCTAAAAACCAAGCCACATGGGAAGGACTATCTACGGAACATACATTTTAGAAGTAAGAACTTTAAATGCAATTTAAGAAAGAGTTGGGGGCACAGAAAGAAATAAGAGGAAAGAAAGTATCATTGAACAAATTTGACTTAGTTATTGTTTACAAAATGAAAACAAAAAAAATTTAAAACATGCAGCATGGGTCAACCCCATCACAAATCTAAAACAAGTCACGGGTGTTTATGACGTGAGGTAAAGACTGCATTTTTCTGCTCTAAATAAAATATAAGCTGATTTATTCCACATTTGGGGGCTCTGTCATCTGCAAAATAGTTACCACGTACATTCCTACTAGAGGGGCTGAGGCACGACATGACCTTGCGGGCACCTCTGAAACCTTTAGTATTGCCACACTGCCAAGAACGTTGTTTCTCACATCGCTCACACCAGCTGAACTTGGGCAACCATAGGTGGTTAAGCATGGCAATACACAAAGGACAGCAAAAATGCACCTTGTCCATATCCTGTGACACACGCCTGGATGAAGCTAAAACAGAGGAGTCTCTTTCCATATGTTTCCACAAGCCAGGTACCTTTCTACCAGTGATCCGCTGGGATCACCTAGGTTTCCTAAAATACTGTTTTCCTAGCTATGCAGCCTGTCCTCCAACTCTTAGTCCACGGTGCTCCATTTCAGCACAAAATGCTCTACCATCAGCTTTTTGAGCTGTCTAAAGAACACAGGCAGTTTTATGTTAAGAACCAGGTGAAATTCAGGTATAATCTCTCCCAAATACTCAAGTGATCCTAATTTTATAGTTCTTTCTCCTTTTTTGTTTCCTGTTGCAGTTAGAATGCAGTCAGTGGTGCTACGAGGCACAATTGTATAACGCAGAATAGCTCAAACAGGACTAGCAAATAGGGGAGTGCAGCCCTGCAGCTCCAGCCCCTTTGGTTCACATGTAATTTTTTGCAGGACTTCAATGTTGTGAAGTGATCAGGGGTACATTTTCCTTCAGATAAAGGGTAAGATTCATGAATATCTCATGGCCTTTAAACAAAGCTCAAAATTCCTGCAGAAGTACCTTCCTTTAGTGTAAGGAGTAGCAAGAAGGGATTCAGTGGTTTTAAGGCCATCTCTCTTTCCACTGTGTTAAACTGTCCAGGAAACTGCAAGAACAGATGAAGAAACTGTGAAGCCTCCTGTCCCTTCCTCTGTGTTTAAAAAGGAAAAAAAGAAATGATTGATGAAGACAAACTACAGATCACATTTTTAAGCTGGCAAGAGGTGGTCTCTATTAGAAGGGAAAGGACTTCAAGATCTCTGCAGAGGGAAGGGCTAAGGACCAGCTCACCAGGATCCCAGGCCAGAGCAGGATTCAAAGGGATGGTGTTTTTATTATGGTTGTAACTTTTTTGGTTAGTTCTCTGGCTACAAAGCTGCATAGGTTTTGAGGGGCCAGCCCCAACCTCGTTCTTCGCACAAGATCTGTTATTTTCAGCTTATGATTTTGTGAAATTAGTATGAGGATTCTCAAGGCAGGCGAGTGGTGTTGTGCAAACACCAGCTCTGTGCACAGTTTTCCTCTGGCACCTGTTCTGGCCTGTGGAGGCAATTCCCCCTCGGTCACCAGCAAAGATAATCTTCATCTAAACAGTCCAGAAGCCAGTTGAGAAGTACTCTGATTTCAATGCACATAATTTTTTAGAGGAAAAGTCTCTTTCCCTGGGGCAAGGCTGGGGAATCTTCTCATGTTGGAAGCCACATTAATTTAGCTGTAATGAAATAAGGCTGCATTCGAAAAAACTTCAATTAGATATACTTAAAATGTACATTATTGACCGGGCACAGTAGCTCACACCTGTAATCCTAGCACTCTGGGAGGCCAAGGCGGGTGGATTGTTTGAGTTCAGGAGTTCGAGACCAGCCTGAACAAGAGCAAGACCCCTGTCTCTACTAAAAATAGAAAGAAATTAATCGGACAACTAAAAATATATAGAAAAAATTAGCCGGGCATGGTGGCGCATGCCTGTAGTCCCAGCTACTCGGGAGGCTGAGGCAGTAGGATCCCTTGAGCCCAGGAGTTTGAGGTTGCTGTGAGCTAGGCTGACGCCACGGCACTCTAGCCCAGGCAACAGAGCCAGACTCAGTCTCAAAAAAAAAAAAAAACGAAATGAGAGCATGTGGATCTGTTAATGCTTTTTTTTTAATCTGTGCAATAAACCCTTCATGTTTTCCTGTCATGGAAGGTACAAATCTGTACATATACTCACTAAATTTACCAAATTCAGTCCAACTTCATGAAATTTATCTTGAAAGCTGTTGAAGATATCTATTCCTTATGTTCTGTTCACAAGAGTACCCAAAGTGAATAATTCTTTGTAGCAAAGAAAATCTTCTGTTATGACCTGAACGAAGTATAAAACCTGTGCCAAGGCAGTAGTATCAGTTGATTCATCCAAAGCGATTGTATAATACATATTTTCCTTTTGAAATATGCATGAAGTGGTTCTGTTAAGTTTCAGGCTAATTCATGGGGCTCATCAGTTTATGATTCACCCTGAAAGAGGCAGTTGTTTTTACTTTGAAATGTTATTGGAGTCTAAGCATCCTAGGACTTCGACAATGCATTCTTTCACAATTTCTGTATCCCTGAATGGCTTTTCTCCGCCCCTCACCCCCACCCCCGGAGTATATAAGCTACTTTGTAAATTGCTTCAGTGGCATTATTTCCAGGTCTTATTGCTGCTTGCAAGAATTGTCTTTGCTTTTGCTTTTCGTCTTTTAATTTCTACAATACAACCTTCTGCGCCTCTCCCTCTAATTTAAAATATTTGTGGTCCTTATGAATGTTATCATGCTGATAACACTGCATTTATTTAATGTTGATATTGTAAGTATCACAAAGCAAGCAAATCATCTTATCTTTAGCAGAAACAAGATAATATTGCAATTTCCAATCCTCATTAAAAAATCTGTTTTCTTACTTCAGGGTTCTCTTGGTCTTCTTTGACCTGATAGGTTGTTAAGCAGACAGAATTACGAGCCGTGCAGTTATTCACAAATTCGACTTCAAACAGAAACACAGGGCAAAGCTGAAAACAGACTGGCATACTCCACCCCCATAAACTCTCACCAGCCAGCCTTGTGTGGTAGTGGCACCAGTCAGGCAGGGGAAGTTAGAACTAAATCATTGTAGCAGCCATCGATTTAGCCCTTATGGCTTACTAATGTTCTAATTGTGCCAGTCAATCTGGGAGGATTATTTTATTCTTTGGTATTTTAAATACATTCATTTTAAAAATAAAATAAAAATATAAAGGACAAACAACATGTAGTAATAAAAATAAAAGGATCTGTTCTGTAA